AAGAATAAAATAAATCCATGCATGTGTCCGGATATTTACATGCTTGTCTTGAAGCTTTGGTAGAAAATCCTGTTAAAAATTTTTTTCGTACTTAACAGAAATATCATTATTTTATATCAGGAAAAGTACCATCATGAGAAGGTCGTAATGTTTAAACTATACCACACACATGGACGCGTGCCCAAAACAAGACTAAAACAACTATTATAAAACCAGTAAATGCTCTGCTAGAGTTTACAACTCGGAAATAGGTTTATCTGTCATGCTTTTATCTCCCCGCCCTGCAAAAATACTCATTTACATAACTGTTAATCCCCGTGTCAATAAATGACACAAATAAATCAAAAGCTAATAAATTGTTCAGGTCTCCCCGAATAATGAGACTAGCTGAAAGTTGGGGAGCTTTAAACACATGATTGAAGCAGAAACATTTCCACGGTGACAAATATGCTGTTTAATAGACCAACACTACAGGATGACACAGCATTATTTCCAACTCTGGTTTACATAACAGGGCTCTGACATGACTTGAGTCGACGTGATCATTCACATATATAAACAAAGCAGACACAAACTACTCTGATTTATTACATTACTCATGAGAATGTGTGCACAAGAGCCGTTCAGCATATTTCTCTTCCTTTGTCCACACTCCTACGCTGCACTCTCACCATGACTCAGCAATTTTCTACATCCACCAAAGGCAGTGCTTTTTTTAATGGTTTTTGTAACAGTTTTGAGTTCCCAGAATGAGTTTGCAAAATAAAATAAAAAATGTATCCTCCAGTATCTGTTGCTGGTAAAATCAAAGCCTTTTTGCAAACTACTGGTTGTGCTGAACTGATCCTTCATGGATAAGAGATAAATGCAGACATTTTTGTCTAGTTGCTAAAGCAGTAAAGCAGCCATTGATCATGAGACTACCTCCACTATGTTTGAGTTTAGGTCTGTTGTTTTTCTGAAATGCTTTGTTAGTTTCATGCCAGATTTAACAATGGGTATTTTATTCAGATGAGCAGAGTTTCTGCTTCAAAATTAAGTTGATCATGTAAAGTATTTCAACAAAATGAATCTGTGAGAGAGGAAATATATTTTTTGTCATGACACTGTATCTACATTTTAATGACCAGTCATCCTTTCTTTCACCTGTCCTGATGGCTGTCCACCACCAGAGACAGTTTAGATATTTAACTTCCTGTGTATTTATGTTTTACTCCAGATATATTCATTGCATTATCAAACAGTAATTTCAACATTTGAGCTATAAATTCCTCCATATCAGATGAGGTGGCTTCTAATGATTAATAGTTTTGAATAACATCCGGAATAATGCCGATGTTTACAACAGACCGGTCATAAATTTACATGTCAGGGATGCAATGAAATTACTTTGTACCTTGTAATGATAGATTAGAAATTACCTTAGTAATTATGACAGTTGTTTTGTTTTTTGTTTTTTTCACAAAATGGCTGGACAGTTCAGACACAGATTTATGTGTGTGTCTTTCAATTCATAGTAAGAGTCTCAGCTCTACAACAATCCTAACCATAGAACCAGAGCTCTATTTGTGTATCAGAATGGCCTAGTCAAAGTGCAAACCTAAATCCAATTGAGAATTTGTGGCAAGCCTTGAAAAGTGAAATGAGGAGCTGCTAATCCACTTTAGCTGCTTTGAATTGTTTTGTTTTTTTAAAATAAAAACCTTTAGCTGTGCAAAGTTTGACTCGACATATCTCAAAGACTTTAAGTTGTGATTGTAGAGAATTCATCCTCAAACATTCATCTAAATAAGAAATTAAACTGAATTAAATTGAAAAATAAGCTGAAATTAAATTTTTGTTCTGAAAAGAATTTGCCAAATACAAATGTGATATTTCGCCAAATTTAGGGAAATTACATTACTTTTTACATGCCATTACGCGGATAAGAAAACATCTAAAGCGGTAAGAAGATATCATCATGGCAGATGCACGGGAGAAAATATGTAGGTCGGCCTTCAAGCCCTCACCTTGCGCACAGACCGCTTGTTTTTATAGACGGGGCTCTACGCTAGAAAAACTCCACGCTGGCATGTTCCTGTGGATTCAGCCATTAAGGTTGTCCTTTCTCACAGGGTAACGCTCCGTTTCACGAAGTCACAGTGATTCCTTGCAATCATTCACACAGGCAGCGGGAACAAAGGAACCAGCTTGACATAACAGACGGGCTGCTGTGAGTTCAGCTCCCTACCAGCCTGGGTTCTGGTCCTGTGGGCTTTCTTTGGTGTTAAAGGTGCTTTTCCCACCAGTTTCTACCAGTGGGACCCGTTGAAAATAAACAACCAAATAAAAAAACATTTGGCTTGTTGTTTGAGTGTAAGGTAACTCCAGAGAGCCTTGGATCAGAACGCAAGCACATTTTTCAGATATCGGACTGTAAGCCCTCTGTATCCCGGACAATGAGAGTCCGTCTCAAGTTACAGTTTAAAAGACATCCTGCCAAAGATTGCATGGCAGCAGCCAGGAAGCCTTCTTCTCAGGGAAACGTGAAACCCTTCCACCAGTCTTTCCTTCTCCCTCATTCATTTTTGCTTTTCACTTTCATTCAGACTTTTTTAATCACATACATTAGAGGCTTATCACAGCTATCTTCGAATAAGAAACAGCGCAGTTGGAAAACGGACACCTTTGACCCCACTCCTTGGTTGCAGATGTTTGGTTACTGCTATCGCTGTCTGGCTTTTCGTGATGTTTGATGTTTCAAGCACAAAACAAATTTAACAAGCATTTGTCGATATGACACTCAGGAGGAGAGCAAATAAACGCCCAAAGGAGGGAGGTCGCATCAAAGTCCAGTGGCAGCGTACAGCTGCGGAGAAATCCTCCGCCTCTCTTCGGTTAGTTTAACTGCCACTCTAATAAAACGCAGTAACCTGGGACGGGATTAGTCCCTGTGGCTTCATTTTGAATGCAGAACACCTTGAACCCATTTGGGATTACATTCACTGATTGTTTCATTTAGGTAGAAGTCATAATTTCTTTTGGCAGCAATTTATTTTGAAGATTTTCAAGTTGCATTACCTTTTCATAATGTATTTATGTGAGTTAAATCTTTTCCGCATCAAACTGTGAAAATACTGAAGACAAATTTCGCTCCATTTGAAGTTGTTTCAAATGTAATTCTGAAAAGTGAGGAATACATTTGTATTCAACCCCTTCTACTCTGACACTCTTGAATAAAATTTAGGGCAACTGGTTGCTTTCTGAATTCAGCCAACTGTTAACCAGATCAACCTGATACTAAGCTTGAATTATCTCATAGAGCCCTGTTTTTTTGTTTTCCATCATTTGAAAACTGGAGCATGAAAACCTACTAAGAGAGATTTAAACTGATCAGTCATGGACAACATAATTCAGAGAAGCAGCCGAGAGGCCCCTGGTCACTCTGGAGGAGCTGCAAAATGAGTCTTTCAATGAGATATTTGTGCACTGGGAAAATCTAGCCTAAAGGAATAGTGACAGGAGGAAAGCTGTTGAAAGAAAATCATGACATCCTATTTTCAGTTTGCCACAAGCTAACAGACGACACAAACCGGCCTCACACATCTTCCTGTTTCTGCGTGTTACCAAATTAAATAAAAATAAGCACTTTCACCTCCCTCGGTTCCATTTAAGAAAGAAAATTTCCATTCGCACAACAGAGGACCGCACCTGACCAGACCGTAGCAGGGTGGTGCACAGAGGGTGTCCTGTACACACGAGGTCAAAATGGTGGTCGATATATGCGGTGGAAAACTAACTGCACATTTCACTGAAACATGGAGGTGTCAGCTTTATTTTGTGGCGATGATCGTCTTCAGCAGGGACAGGGAAGCTGGTCAGAATAAATAAGTGGCAAGATTGGTGGAAGTTGCATCGTACAATTATATGAGTTAGATCAGAGCATGTCTTAGAATGGCCCAGTCAAAGTCCAGACCTAAATTCAACTGAGAATCTGTGGCAAAACTCGAATAATGACATTGTAGCAGTTCTGCAAACCATTGTATGCAAAACTGAACTGCTGTGATATGTTTGACGTGGTTTAGTTTCTATCTGTAGGGTTCATCATAACTCATATTTACCCGCTCTAATGCTGAGCTTAACTTTAGGAAAGTGAGGCCTGTAGAGCTTTAGATGTTGTTCTGGGTTCTCCTGTGGCTTCCTGGACGACCCGTTGATTAACTCTTCAAATAAATTTGGTTGGTTATTTCTGGGAAGGTCCACTTTTTTCACTGTGGATTACTGGAGTGCAAAACATTAGAGGTTGTTTAGGATAATTGCATTTACTGCAAGATTCTACTTGACGTAGGGCCAGGTTGGTTCAGATAGCAGTTTTATCTTAATAATCATCCCATTAGTAATAATAATAAAGAAAATAGCTTAAAAACAGCTTTTTGTATTTACTTAGATTATCTTTGACATTCAAAATCGTTTGGGGATCTGAAACATTTAAATGAGGAAAATGCTGTTAATTGTTTTCTTAATTTCGTCATTCTGTTGCATCCTGTTTAGAATTCAATAAAATAAAATATATATACACATATATACTCTCACTAGTTCTGAGATTGTAAGCACAGCTGTTATATTTGCATTTAAGCAAATTGTCTTGTAGTGCCACGTCTTTAGCATGATGCAACAGATGTTACAGGTTTCATCTGATCAAACATTAACTAAATATGTTATATTTTTAATTATTTGCTTTTAGTTTCGACTGACAAAAAATGTGGGTGTGATACAGTAATTAATCACAATCAAGAAAGCTTCTTTATGAAGCTACTTTATAAGGATACTATTTAAATGACCATACGCTAAATGAAAGGCTATTTCTCAAAGTTTGTTTTTGTCTCCAGTAGTGATTTACTTTCGCTGCAAGTTTTCAAACATTAAAATAAAATCCTTAAAGTGAACAACGAGCACACTAAAGGCACACAGGCATGAGTTGTTTTTTTTTAAGGAACGCAATGGGGGCAGTCAACAAGAGTTTCCTCTCGGAACACAACACGCCCATCTTACGTAAAAGGGGCGGAGGCGGAGGTTTAAAATGCCGGTTAAACGTGTGGCTACAACATCTGCTCCTCCGCGTCAGAACAACCCGGAGAGAAGGAAGTAGGTCGTAAGCCACGCTGACGCTCTGAAAGACTCCCGCCTCGTTTAGAAACACGATAAAAACTAAGTGTTCTTCTTAAAGTTTAGTTTTAAGTTAAGTAACTTTGAGCAACATGGCAGAGAAGGTTGACCTGGAGGAAGTGAAGGCATCCAACGGCGAGGCGCACCGCGATGAGCGGCTCGCCAACGGGTTTGCCGGGCAGAGGAAGGGCAGCCCGGAGCCGATGTCCGAGCGGGTGAAGAGGATCGTCAAGGCGAACCTGCTGGTGATCCTGACCGTGGCCGGGGTCATCGTGGGGGTCTTCATCGGGCTCGGTGTGCGCACCGCGTCGCCGACCGTAACCCAGCAGATCTACATCGGCTTCCCCGGCGAGATCCTCATCCGGCTGCTGAAGATGATCATCATCCCCCTGGTGGTGTGCAGCTTGGTGTCCGGAGCGGCGAGCATCGACCCCAAAGCTCTGGGGAAACTGGGCGGCTGGGCCATGCTGTTCTTCTTTGTGACCACCTTGATAGCCTCGTCCATCGGGGTGGTGATGGCTTTCATCATCAAGCCGGGAAATGTGGAAATGAACACCACCGCCAACGCTAAAGACATGAGTGATGATATCCCTGCGAATAAAGAAGTTATAGACTCCTTCTTAGACCTGATAAGGTGAGTCTGAAAGTTATTCATATTAACCCACAACATATATTTCCGTTAACCTGGTGTTACTACAGACATATTACCCACGAGGCTAGAGTTCACCTGGCCGACAGCTAGCTCTTCTTGTAATGTCAACAAGCAGTTGCATCAGCTTCTGTTTCCTCGTGCGGGTTAAACCCTTGCCGCACGAGATGAGCTTTTGCCGCTCTTTACACGCGCGCATTAACTCCACTGTCCATAACGAAGTCAAAGCTGGGTAATATATGATGAAATAAGTCTCCCAGTCATTGACGTCAACTATATATCTTAAAAGTAATCAAGAGAGTCGATGAAGCTTGAGTTATTTTTTTAATAATGTCCCTTTTTGAATGACTTGTTCCCGAATCCCGACCCTATAAATTGGACCTAACTGGACATGGTTTGCATATCGTGACCTCTCTAAAGGTCACGAATATGTAAGTATGTCCTCTTGAAGTTCTTTTCAGAAATTAGCCTAAATGCTAACCCAGAGTACGGTATTGTACCTGAATGCACCATGAGGTTCTTGCCTGTGGCCTCACACTTTGAAGAAGTGTAATAGTGTCACTATTGCCTCAAACACACCAGAGTATTACTGATTTTTTTTTAAACAAGTTGTGATGGTTTGTTGTACATTTGATCACATCACACGTGTCATGGTTTTTCTTTCCGTGAGTAGTGAGGTCACACTTCTTCCTGTTTCTGTTACCAGAAAAAAAAGAGGTACCGTAGTTTCCCCTTCCTTTCTTCCAGTGAAGTCAGAGGGTTTCTGTTCACAGACAGCAGAGTACCGCATCAAACCAGTCTGTAGCTGGCTGATGTCTGGTTGGATTATATTTAGACCCAAGTTGTGCATCTGCACACAGCAAAATCTGCTCTCCAATTCAAGACGCTGGCTGCCTGAACCTGTTTTTCCTCTTGCTTTTTTGTGCATGCCTCATATTCATGGGACATAGTTTCTTCACCTTACTTTTGAGCACATGGAAGCAGCTGTGCTCAGAGTGTAACAACTATTCAGTGGGATCTCAGTATCTTTTGACAATTTTTATTTCACATTAAATGTTACTTTTTTCCTATTATTAGCCAGGAAATTAGTTTAGATTTTATTTTTTATTTTTTTGCTTTGTGAATAACATCTCATTAAAATGACTTTAAATCATCTTCATAGAACATCTTTGCCGTTTTGTAACTTTTTTGTTTAATGCCAGAAACCGGCCTATGTTTCACAAGAGTCTTTGGAGTTAGCTTTTCTTAGAAAACACTAAATTTGTGCCTAAACAAAAGAAAAAAACAGCAGAAACAACTTGACTTCTCATCCCCATCCAGAAGTGTGCTCACATTCAATGCAGCTGTTGCATAACGTTATTTTTAAGGCAGCTTTTAGTAATTATGGATGCATTTTCCACATCTCCTGCTCCTCCTCCCTCTTCCTGCAGTGCCACCTAGTCACAAACATCCACTTCCTGGAAAAATAGCTCTTGTGTTTAAGAAAACTGCATGGTGCAACAGGGCAGAAGACATGATCCCATTACTTTGCATGCAAATACGCCGCTGATTGCCCGAAGTCTCTCTTTTGTCCCACATGCAGATTATTGATCAAAGGATAAGGGGAAAGTAGAAACCATGCAGGGTTTGTTCCTCGATGCACACATGATTAAAGTCATAGCAATGCTTGGCACATTTTTCACAACGAGTTTCAAGTGACCTGACTGTAATTAAAAGATTAACATTGTTGCCTACGGATATTTAGGCATGTTGCAAAACCCGCTCCGTGACTTACAACACAATCGCCTAATTTTAAGGACGCAGGACTTCATATTTAGGTTTCTGGGAGTAAAGTCAGCACACCCTCCTTCTTTTGTAGGGTTTGAAATACCAGGACGTAATTGGAAAATCTGTCAGTGTTTACTACGTTGCACTTTTCATACGGAATGCGGACAAGACAACAAGCCTGTGATGATGAAACAGGAGGGGTTACCGAGAAACCAGCAGCAATTACAACAATAATTAAAAATGACATCTTGAGTAGAGTAAGTTAAAGCATAAGAATATAATAAAAAAAAAAACACAGAGAAATGGGAAGGTAATTGAGATGCATTCATTTACTAAAAATAGATAAGGGTGTCAACAGACCTCTTGAAGTCTGTTGACACCCTTAGTTATAGTGACGTGGCTAAATTCAGTATTTGACTACAGCCTGACAAGACGTTTATCTCATGTTGGGAACATGCCGTCACTACGCACACATGTGTGCTTCCACACTATCCTAGTCACACAGCTGGTCTCTTATTAGAAGGAGCCCCGCCTCCCCCGTCTCCGTCTTGCTCTGTGTTTTGGTGGATCTGAGCTGTTTGAGAAACAGCAGCAGCCTGGCTCACAGATCCAGGTTGGTCGTAAATGTTTAATGTCGCCGTTTGGTTGGGGATAAGTCACTGTGTCTATTAAACTGGCCACACTGCTGGCAGGGTCAGACGGACCCGGCTTGCAACATGTTTGCAGGCTCTCCTGTGCGTCCGTGTTGACTTTTGTTATCTCCTGCTTTTTCCTTTCACACATAAACCAAATGCGTACTTGTACAGTCAATGGTCAGCTGTGATGTCACCTGTTAGCTTTGCGTGCAATCAATGATGTTTATCTAGAGCAGCACAAAAATGTGAAAGTAAAGATGGATTTTTCCTACAAGACCACGTAGCTGTTTGCAATATATCCAAGTTAGATTAGCTAGTTTTTGTTTATCATGCTATCATGAGTCACCGATATTAACAGCTGTTAAGTTTTAAAGCCAAACATTTATTCTTCCTTGTTGACCTGTTTTATTGCCCCGGATCGGGGGAGGCAACAAAACTCCAACTCGACATCAGACTTAAACAAAAGAAGGACACACCTTCGTAGCAGCACGTCCTTGATGCTTTGTGTGTCCCAGCCAGCGTTGGCATGACAATGACACCTTTGTGTTTTAGCTCACAATTTACATAGCAGTACCGCATGCGACTCATAGAAGACTTTACCCTCTCAGAATGTGACGCGCTCTGAATGAAGCGATCAGCTGAGGACGATTCACTGGGAAGCTGGTGTTCATGATGGAGTTTCACATCAACATGTGGGACAAAGTCACCTCCAAAATGGGGAAGAGGGACCGGACTGCTTGATCTTTGGTATACACCACTGTATGTTCCAAGTTACGGTGGACGGTGCCATGCAGGCATTTCATCTTGTACAGTCATGATGACCCCATCTAAATACATTAGATTACAATAGGAAAGTTACTTTATTTCAGAAATGTAATTAAAATAATTAATTACTCTCCTAGTGCTTTAATTCAGGTGTTTGTTGCTATGGGTTTAAACTAGTAAAATACCTCAGGAAATATCAATAATATATGACCAATAAAAAAGGTTTTTAATCCAGAAATCTTTAGTTACGACCGAAACAATCAACATTGCTAATGCTAAACTGCTTCCACATGAAGGCAGGTGAGACCCAAAAGTATACTTTGCTAAAGAACGAGTGCTGTATCCAAAGACATTAATGGAAGGTTGAGTGGAAGGAAAAAGATTGTCAGCAAAAGGCGAAATTCTTTTTTTCAGGATGTGACCATGCTGGTCGATCGAAGGAAGGCGCTCCAATTCCAATATCTGACATCCGTAATAAATATGGAACTATATTATTGCTTGCAACCCCGATGTATATATTTTTTCTTCTCCGTTTTAAAATATTCAGTAAACGTAAGAATGGTACGTTAAGTAATCCAAAGCTTGCATTCCTGGAAGCCTTTTTCAGCCTTTGTTTCCAGCTGCTTGCTGCCTCATCACATGATGTTTGAGCCTGATGTTTCCAATGATTGGCTGACAAGAAGGAGCTTGTGAAGTTAATGCCTTATTGCTCTAAATCCGCTGCAGACGGCTGACAGCAGGGTATCGAGTACACAAGGCTTTACGAGTTCTTGGGGGAGGGTGGAGGTGTAATTTGCAGTTGGACTAAATGTATGTAAAAGCTTTTTGTACTAGCGAGTGCAGACTTATTACCTCCATGGCATTAAATAATAGGAGCACAAAGGAGGGAGAAAAGAGGTTTAATAGTTTAGAAAAGGCTACAACCCAAAGGTTCTCAGGGATGTAGTGCTGCAAAACTACATAAACTGCTCAAATTAGGCTCAAGGATTTGGCTATAACACACTGATCCATCTTACAGATCTTGCAAGACATGGGCTTAAAACATTTCTGCTCCACTGTTTTATTAACTTTGGGTTTTTTTCTCATGTATTTGTGAAGTGAAATAATATGCGTTGTTTTCACTTCTTTTCACAGAAACATCTTCCCCTCCAACCTGGTGTCTGCCGCCTTTCAGTCGGTGAGCATTAGACCTTAAATCTGTGATTTTGTTTTCCAGATAACGACCTTGCATAACAAAAGATGCTTTTGTACTTCTTTATAAATATGTTTTTTCTTATTCTTCCCCACTAGTACGGAACCTCCTACAAGGTGATAAACGCGTCCGGAATCGCAGAGAAGGTGAGGGATTTATTTGGTTATCAACAAAACTCCACAGATGATCATTTTGCTTCCTCTTGCAGTTTTTTTTCTTTTCTAAACAAATCCGCACTTCTTTCCAGGTTCCCGTCGGAACAGATCAAGACGGGATGAACATCCTTGGGTTGGTGGTGTTCGCTATTGTTTTCGGTGTGGCTCTGAGGAAGCTGGGCGAAGAAGGAGAGATCCTCATCAAGTTCTTCAACTCCTTCAACGAGGCCACCATGGTGCTGGTGTCCTGGATCATGTGGTAAGAAAACGCCCCTCGTTAATGTTTGGTGGTTTTGGGGGTCTGCAAAGGTGAGGAGGACACCCTACTAATAAGTAGGACACTAGAAGAAAGTGTTGTTACATGTTTGTTTTAATTACTCAGTAATTACATTTTAAATGATTAATTTTAAATCATTTATGAAACTTATGTTTGTTTTTTCTCTGCTACTACTGGTGGCACTTGAATTTTTTAGAGGAAGTGTTTCGATTTTTTTTTACAATGCAAATATTAGATTAGTAGTTCAGACAAACTTGCTGATTCCAGAAACTCTTTTGAAATAATAAATAATACACAGAGTTATCTATTTCATAAATAAATTACAGTAAATAAAGGCTTGTAGGTTCCTATAAATAATAATTCAGAATTTTAAAATTAATTCAGATTTCTATGTGAATTGTGAACGGTCCGAAGAGTTTAGAAATTATAAATTGTGCAACACTAATCATTTTGTTTAGTTCTCAACATATTTTTCCTCCACTGAAAAAAAAGTACTCAATTTAAAGCTTTTTTTTTCTTTCTAAAATTTCCTAAAATCAAGTAGTTGCATCATTTTTGAAACAGCCCTGCGATAAAAGATTTCATTTCTAGGCTCTTTAGACATCTGTATCAGAGATGTTCACACGTCTAGAGGGAGTTACTAGCTTGAGACCTTTCAGAAAATGTTTTTCTCAAACAAAGCATTGTAAGTCTGTTAAGTAACCTTTATCGGTGAGGTACGTTTCCTTTGTGCTGTGTTCCAGAAACCTGATCTGCAGCATTGTCTTGGTCTTTTCAGGTACGCTCCTATAGGTATCATGTTCCTCGTCGCCGGTAAGATTGTGGAGATGGAGGACGTCGGCAAGCTGTTTGCCAGCCTGGGAAAGTACATCGCCTGCTGCATGATTGGCCACGCCATCCACGGCCTGCTGGTGCTGCCCTTCATCTACTTCATTTTCACCAGGAAGAACCCCTACACCTTCCTGTGGGGCATTTTCACAGCCTTGGCCACGGCTTTTGGAACCAGCTCCAGGTATTTTCACCTCAAACTCGCATGTGTTTGCTCAGTCAGTGTTGCTGAATATTCACACACTGAGGCTCTCCTGTTTAGACACGCGCACACACACCCACGCTCCTCCTCCGCTCAGAAACTCTGTCTCCCTGTTTCCAGCTCTGCCACTCTGCCCCTCATGATGAAGTGCGTGGAGGAGAAAAACGGCGTCTCCAAGCACATAAGCCGCTTCATCCTGCCCATCGGCGCCACGGTCAACATGGACGGGGCCGCCCTCTTCCAGTGTGTGGCGGCCGTTTTCATCGCCCAGCTTAACAACACCAGCCTCAACTTTATCCAAGTCATAACCATCCTGTACGTCCGGCGTCTGCGGCGATGCGACTCCGTTTAAGCGGATCGCTTTCAGCCCATGTGTGATGATACGTTTGCAGCTCCTCCTTTGTGTGGAAAGTTTTGTAATTCGGTTTGGTGACTTTGTGGCTTGTGTTTGTCAGTGTGACGGCTACAGCGTCCAGTGTTGGAGCTGCGGGTATACCTGCAGGCGGTGTGCTGACCCTAGCCATCATCCTGGAGGCAATTGGACTGCCCACCAGCGACATCTCTCTCATCCTCGCTGTCGACTGGCTTGTGTGAGTAGAAAACAACCGTCGCACTGCAACCATAAACTTGAATGGATTTTATCTTACACAGAGCAACACAAAGCAGGACATTAAAGACACAAGAGTGAAGACAGCCAAGTTACAAAAAATAAATCACTTATGACATAATTATTTAAATGTCATTGATTTATGAAAACTGGAATTAAATGGAGAATAAATTGTATCGCTTCGATACGTAATCCGCATCATAACGTTAAAATCTCTCTTCTTATCCCGTTTTGTCCCTCTTTAGTGACCGCACCTGCACGGTGCTGAATGTGGAGGGCGACGCCTTCGGAGCGGGGCTCCTGCAGCACTTTGTGGACAAAACATCCAAACACGAAGGAGTGGAGGAGCTGAGCGAGGTCAGGATGGACGGAGACGCGGCCGCCGCCATGCCCGAGCACTCGCCGCTCATCGATAAGCGAGGCTTGCAGGGCGCGAAAGGAGACCTTTCTTCCGAGAAAGAGTCGACCATGTAACGCAGACTGTGACTTCTACCGCGAACCCTCCTGCAAACACGAAACCTAAGCTCCCCCTGTTGAGAAAAGAGTCCAAGGAGAGACGACGGACAAGCACACTACAATGCAAAGCAACGCTCTCTGACCTCAAATGCTTTTCTGGACGGGGTGCAGCTGATATCTTATGGGATATAGAGAAACCATGATACACTCAGTGGGTTATTTAATTTTTTTTAGGGGAATGTGAGACTGATTTTTATCATTATTATTATTATTACTTCTCCTTCATGTTTATCTGATGTTTTCAGTTGGTCTACTCTGAAATCAGATTTTAAGGTTTCACAAGCCACTTAAAAGAAAACAGACTATTCACATCGAGGAGCGCAGCAGATGACACTTTATTCATGCTGGACAAATGAATATGAATGTCTGATGCTAAAGCGTTCTTCTGTCTTATGTGCATCACTGTTCTGCTGACAGAAACTCTCTTTTTATACATATATTTAAGAAAAAATAAAATAGCATAGCGTCCATAGTTACCACATAGTCTTTTTTTAGATTTAAAAGTGTCAGGTTTTGTAATGTCGCATGTGAAATTAAAACAAGAAGAATGATATATTTTTCAAAATGGGATGCAGATTAAAAAAAAAAAAACCCCAACCAAAACAACAAACGTACATATAGCCACTTTCATGCAGGTTTCTTCCAATGGAGAGTTTCATAGATTTGCATCAATGCAGCAGTGCTCAAGTGTTACAACAGTCCTATTGTTTTTGTTTGCAATTGCCTTCTTGGTGTAGAATTGTGACCAATCGTGTGTGACCAACTGTTTTATCGCCTAGTGTTCTGTTAGGTTTTTCAATTGAAGTAGATGCTTTGAAGAGACAAACAATCTACAACACGGTGCTGTGATCTATAGTCATTGCCCTAAACAAGATGATGTCTGAGCAAAATGCTGTTGTACACGTAGAGGAAGCGGTTTTGCTCCATGCTGCTGAAGGTGAAACACACACACAGCTGCTCATAGCAGTAGAGGCTGTGCTTTATCGCTTGCTTTGACTCCAGTCCAATTTTAATTCATGATATTAGAAAAGCACTTTTTTTTTTTTTTTTTTTTTTTCTTAAATTCCGTTTTTTAGATTTTAAAAAAAATCAAAGGACAAATTGTAAACTTTTTACTTT